CATTGGGATTCATTGGGGGTGGTCCAGGAGGTCCAGGTGGAGGTGCTGGCCTTGGCGGTTCTGGAATTGGCCACATATGCATAGTGATCGCCCAATCGGGTTCGATCACTGTTTCCCATATTTGTGGTAGAATAATCTCACCATTGGGTCCGATCAAATCATAGTGACCTTCTTGAACGTGGGGACCAATAACATCGACGTGAAGGAAAGCTTGTTTGATCAATTCTTCCATGCCCTACTCAAAATTGTTAATAACTAATTGCATTTTCAAACGGAAAGAACAATGAAAGAATAACTTACAGCCCATGTTGCACACAGCTGGAAAGGGAAGCTGAATTTTCTGCCTACAGCATCCTTGAATTTGATAGGCTTCTTTTTCTCATCCGCTGGTGGAGCGGGTGGTGGTGGTGGATTAGCAGCATTTGCAGCCGCAGTCGCAGCCGCGGTCGCAGCAGCGATGGCTGCGGCTAACTCATCTGCTTTTTTCTTTGCTTCTTCCTCTTCGGCTGCTCTAGCTTTTGCTTCGTCTTCCTTAGCTTTCAATGCATCTGCGGCGCCCTTTGCCAATGCCAATTGTTTCTCAGCCTCGATTTTAGCTTCCCATTCAGCTTTGATAGCAGCGGCTTGTGCGGCTTCTGCAGCGTCTGCGGCATCCTTAGCTTCTTTCGCTAATTTGGCCGCCAATGCTGATTGTGCCTCTTCCATTTTCTTCTTCAAATCAGCTTCATTATCGGCAGCCATCTTTTTAAGATCTGCTTCCATTGTCGCGGCTTTCTTCAATAAATCTGCTTGTGCTTCTGATGCCTTCTTCTCCCATTCGGCCTTCAAAGCAGCTTGAGCAGCGGCATCAGCGGCCTCTTTCTCCGCTTTTGCTTCTTGTGCAAGTTTAGCCGCTAGTAAGGTTTGAGCTTCTTCCATTCGTTTCTTCAAATCAGCTTCAGCTTCAGCGGCCTTCTTTTTCAAATCAGCCTCCATGTCTGCAGCCCTCTTTTCTAGCTCGGCTTGTTTCTCGGCGGCCCTCTTCTCGATGGCGGCTTGTGCTTCATTGGCTTTCCTTGCCCATTCGGCCCTCTCGTCTGCTAGCTTTTGTGCAGCTGCAGCAGCTTCTTCAGCGTCCAATTTCTCTTTGAGTTCTCGTGCCTCCTTGTCGGCCAAGGCCTTCTGTGCAGCTTCAGATGCTTTTTGGGCGGCCTCTGCTTGCTCTTTAGCCCTATCAGACTCTATCTTGGCATTTTTCATCTGCTCCTCCATTAAAACCATTTTCTTCTCCAACTCAATATCAATCACTGGTACTGGAGAGGCAGCTGGAGCTGGCTCCGGAGCTGGTGGGGAAAATTGAGGAGGGAAATATTGCATCCCTGCCGGAGCCATTGCCATGTTTTGCTGTCCATGCTGTCCATGTTGTTGTCCGTGATGTCCATGTTGCAATGCCTGCATACCTGGAGACATTCCTGGAGACATTCCTGGAGACATAGCAGGAGGCATGTATCCTGGGTACCCTGGATAGCCTTGACCTCCACCGTAAGGCTGATTACCAGGGTAGCCTTGCTGAGGTGCATAATGCATAAGCTCTTGATTAGGATGGCCAGGATATCCAGAAGGGGTGTTATGCCCACTGTGCCCTGCCATTGGATCGTGCCTAGATGCCATAGGGTCATGTCTAGATGCCATTGGATCGTGTCTAGACGCCATTGGATCATGTCTAGATGCCATTGGATCGTGTCTAGACGCCATTGGATCATGTCTAGACGCCATTGGATCGTGTCTGCTATGGCTGTTGAAATAGCTGGCTCCGCCTGGGCTTGGGGATGGTTGTGGTGCAAATGAAGTCTGGTTTTGTGGTGCAAATGGATTTGAACTTTGGTTATATTGTTGTTGAGGGTATCCGCCACCATAATGTGTTAAAGCTCCTGGACCAGGCCCAGGTGGAGGAGCAACAGCGGGATTGCCAAAAGGTGGTGCATATTGGGTACTTGCACTAGCGGGGTATCCATTTGGGGCATATCCAGGCGGAGGCGCTACTCTACCACCATACGGAGCGGGTTGCTGAGCAGGATAGCCTCGGCCATAGCCTGGGTAATCATCTAGTTGCTCCACGGTGGTTACTGGTCCCGGTGCTGTGTGCCGGTGCACTCTAGAAGCAGAGGGGCGATGATTTCGTTCAGCGGCCGGAGTATGACGGCGCGCGGGGCGATCGTAATTTGAGTGTGCACGTTCACTGGGAGCTGGTCGACCTGTACTATGTTCTCGGGAACTAATTTGCCCTCTGTCTATGTATCTTGCTTGTGCGCGTGGCCGTGAAGCAGATTCAGAGGGTTCGATATCGTCTGAATAATCAAAAGAGTCTTGGGAATTGTCTGAAAATTCGTGACTATCGTCTGAGCGAATGTGACCCGACGATCCCTCGGAGAATGAATTAGATCTAGAATTTGAGGTAGAGTGAGACGGAGTAGTATATGGACTTTGGGTATTAGGAGTATCGATTGTTATTCGAGTTGTTGGTCCCCTTGTACGAAGACTATTGGAAACAAAAGAGTTAGCATACGTGAAGCTAGACCGCTAATTATGTCGCAACTATCAGTGTGACAGTTATGTTGTGAATTCAAGTACTTACGGCATCGGGATGTCTCTTTCAAGGAATTATCTCCCACCCACGACTCTCGATTCGAGAATGTCGGAGTGAAGATATCCTTGAAAATGGGTTGGTGAAAGGAGGGGGGGGGGGGAGGAGTCTTCGCCCAGGCTATGTCCCACCTCACAACTTCTTGAAGAATGTTCTGGATTGGACTGCCGATAATGTATTGCAGAAGAATCTGTTAGTTTTATATGAATTGTATGCAGGGGACGCAGACGAAGAAGCGACTCAACGTCAAAGCACTAAATTCAATTGAATTTTAAGGTTGGACGGCGTCGTGTCAAACTTTTGGTGGTTTGAGTGAAGAGGTAATAATAAATTGTAGTGGTTGTGCGGGCCGTCGCGAACTTGACTAGCTAGTGGTTCGGTATTGATCAATCGACGGGTATGCTAAGATAGTTTATGAAAATCCAAGGTTGTGTTGATCGGAGATGTAAGCGGCGATGTTTGATGGTACTTTAAATATTATTATCAAGAGTAACACCACTGATGAAATGGTCGACTGTCGGTGTTGTTATTCGAACGGTATGGTTTATGTTCGAAGAATGTCGCGGAGAGATATTTATCGATAAGTGAGGATTGAGGATTGAGTATTCGAGAGAAGGTTTGGAGGGGAAAGGGAAATCAAGAAATAAAAATGTGGTGTGTGGATCTTGAATGGATGGAATAAGTGGGTGAGTGGGTGAGTGAGTGAGTGGGTGAGTGAGTGATGAGTGTGGATGGATGGTAGGTGTGTATGGTGGTGTGTGGTGGTGTGGTGGATTATAATTTTTTGGGTTTGGTCTGTGGGCAGCAGTGGCTAGAAGTACTGTCTCTCTCTCGTGTCTGTAGCCACGAGTAGCTTTCCCGGATCCTTTTCTGCTGCGAGGGGTCAAATGTTTTAGCGTATATTTCTTATGATTCGCTGTCAACCAATCCAAACTGAGCTGGACTGCTATTCGTCTACTAGTTCTAGTAGGTAAGGTAGTATTTTCTAATTCCTTCCATTGTTTCCTAGGCTACCAGGTTCTTCCTATTTCGATTTTCTCTTTCTCGTCAATGAAGTCCATATGGATCCTTTTGGGTACTCTTACGTCTAATATACCTAGCTACATTTCAAAATTGGCACACACTCGCGGCAAATGGAGAAAAAAGAGCGAGCTTTGTCGGTATACAAGGTTAAAAAGCTATTGCACATACACTGTAGTACAAGGATCAAGGGATCAGTTCATAACGAAGATGTTGATCTGGAAGAAACGATGGAAGTTCTCAAGTAACAGAAAAGATTGATCGCCTATCTGCTTCTGACATCTTGAGTTGTATGAAGATCGAAATGCTGTAACATACCTTTCTTTCCTTGTGAAGTTTTCTAAAAGGTAAGATGATCCGAGGTATGATATTGAGATCCTAGGTACTCCAAAAAAGAAAATGATCCAAAAAAATCTCCAAAAGGGGGTTTTATCCGCGGTCGATATTAAAAGTCTAGACGATTATGAAACCAGAAGAACACCAGAAGAGAGGGGAAGCCGGAGAGGAAATAATAAATGGTCCGTGTAGGGAGGGGAGTATAGAATAGATGGAACACCTGGAGAAAAAAGAACGGGTCTTCCAATTATTCGTCCTGAGGGGTAATAACTGTATGGCAATGATAATAATCAAACACTGATTTTATGTGTGAGTAGGTACTTTGTGGTATGTTGATATGATTACTCCGGTACCACTGACTTGGTTTTCGGTTTCTGGGAATTTCAAATCAAATGAAAGAGGAGGATAAAGAGATTGACGATGTAATATGATGTTGTGTAGTTTATGTAGACTTCATGTTGTGAGATAGTTTGTGTATTTTTGCTTTCTTATTCACGATAGAGTCTTCCGTAGTGGGGAGGGATTGGTTGTTGATGTAATTGTTCTCAGTCCGTTAGAAGACTTTGCTTCAACGAGAGGATGAATGTGAAATAAATATTGGATGGATGGTACTCTGTTGCTAGGGGGGACGAAGTGATGAATTTAAATTTTGGGGGTAAAAGTGGAAGATTCCGGTACGAATTCGCTTCGTCTGCTGATGAAGGGGTAAAAAGACTTGAGAACCGGGTACGAATTCAAAAGCCCTTGGGCTCTTATGGGAAGAGTGAAAGTGTCAGAAAAGTCATGAGTTTGGCTTTTTTTATTAATTTAACATGCAGAACTGCGTGAATTGTGGACCGAAAGGGAAAATTATCACTTCGGGGGGTTTGATTTTATGATTCTTGAACTTCGGGCTTGCGTGGTTGGTTCTTTCAGCCTTTCCTCTTGGTGTAGTTGGTCTTGTGATTAGATTGATGATGTTTCCGCATATTTGAATGTTGAAATATACAACTAAGGCTCCACGATGTTGCACAGCAGATTGGACAATGGGAAACTCTGATGTATAGATACAACTTGTGTAGTATTCGGGACAAAAATCAAGGAATTATTGCGGTGTCAGCTGTAATCGACCACCCTCAAGGCTGACTCTATCTACATATACCAGCCCTTCTAAACCCGTGCGTTGTCACGATTCTAAAAGACTCATCTCTGAATTGTTTCTTTCAGGTTCGGATAGGTTCAAATGATTAGAGCCGCCTAAAAAAAATCTCGTCACCGCCTTTTTTAACAGCCTAAAGATGCCCAAGAATTCCGAGCCTCTTGCCCAATGTGGCAAAGCTAATCGCCAATTCAATGATTGGGCACCGAGATTCATGAATGCGCTCCTACTGGTGCCACGACCTCGGGAGGGGCTTGTAACCTACCTTTCGATTGTCCAATTCTAGCCCATGACATTTGAAATGACGGATTGGAACGGTAACATTCTCATGCAAGTCGCAACCCCAATTTATAGATGGAAGAAATTTTCGAATTGAAAAACCATATCGAACCTTGCACTTTTGAATGTGCGAGTGCATACATCCGACGTTGAAAATAATGATGGGAATTCATGTTCCAAAATGTGGATCTTGTGTCTCCAGGATCAAAATGATGTGCCTTGCATGTTCCACATTCTGAGAACTGATCAATTTCTATGAATATCAACGAGTAATAGAACCCGAATCTCTATTCAATAATTCACGAGCGGCGATGAGGGAAGCTTCGTCATAGCCCTCCCAGCCAGGTTCTTTAGCAGCACTTCGTCGAACGATTTCCGATAATTTAGATGTAGCAGTCTCATTCAGCTTCTCCACTGTGTTTGTATCTGGGAAGGGCGGATTATTGTCTGGTTTGCTGTTTCGACTTGTTGGGGGCTTGCGGAGAAGTTGACTACTAGCCTGTGGTGTGTTAGAAGTGATTTGTCAAGATAGAGGTTAAACCAACCAATTTCAAGCCGTAGTATCCACGAAGATAGTCATCACATAATTCGATGCTTCTACAAAATCTTCGCAAAGAGTCTGCAAGGTACCGGTCCGAGTTCGAATCATTCACACCCGCGGCAATATATAGTATCTCTCCGAGTCGGGCATGCATCTGAGTTCAGTTGTTAGTATTTTTACAGCTTACAAGAAAGTTATTAGGCCGCCTACATTCCATGCATTAGGTGTGATGAGCAGGACCTCTTCCAACGCAAAAATTCCTTGTGGATACATGCCCTGCGAAACGTAAAGATCTGCCAACTCTGCCCAGGATTCTGCATCCGTGGGGGATAAGTCCAACAACTCATTGAGTGCGGTAATTGCCTCTGAGGTCTTTCCAAGTGACCTGAGAACCGAAATACGACGTTTCAAGATAGGCTACACAGCTCAGTAAGTGTTTGTATGGAAACACGTTCGAGTAAGCTTACCATGTTATTTGGATTGTCCGATAAGTTTTGTTCGTATCCATCTAGCACTTTTTGTAATGCTGCATTGTCTTCTGCATTGACTTCACAGAGTAATCCTCTCATTGCCATAATCCGCTCATTTTCAACCCCGAACCTCTCCTGGAGTCGCTTGATGCATAGCTGCGCAGATTTCTCATCACCAGTTCGCAAGCATGACATTAATAGGTTTTCGTAAGTAGTCCACAGTTCTGGCGATTCCGCAGCTGTCCAGATCGAGCTCAAGGACCATGATGATATCGATGAAGGAGTGTTTCGCAATATAGAGGGAGCTTGTTGAGAGTTTTGTAAGGCCAGTGCTGGCGGGAGATGTGCAGGTGGGTGTAGGAGTGCAGAGGACATGATTGTGGTATCTCGGATGTTCTAGATGTGGCTTTTGTGGAAGAAGAAGAGTACAGTATGAAGATCCGGGGTTGTGAGCTCGATTAAAGTAGGGACAGCTTGTGATTGTAGAGCTCTCCACTTAAAGTTTAGCTCTTACTGCTGTTTTGACGTTTCTCAAAGTTTATGCCTTATACATGACGTTGGTGCCTTAATATCTTTATCGATGAGGGCGGTGTAAAGCTAGTGGGGGGATGGGTATCGAATGGGACACTTGCGTCAACATAGAAGAGACTCATTACAGCATTGGAACAATCACATTTATTTTCTAATCTCCACCAAAGTCCAGGAAACCTCAAGTCATGCGCGTCGTATCTGCTGGACATTCAACGCTTCCCTAATCCAAATTCTTAATGGAGGACCACTCAATATAAATATAATCCCTCTAAGATGTACGCCCTTGCTCGGAACAACCATACTTTCATTCTGGATAATGTACTAAAACTTTAGCAGGTTTGAAAAGTCGTTGTACGACCTCATTCGAGGCCTGCGAAACCACAAAGGCAACGAGAAGGAGTATATTCAAAATAGTTTGAAAGAATGTCGTGCGGAAATCAAAGGATCCGACATGGGTTAGAATCTATGGCAGAAGAAGGGGGTGCATTTTAACTGACGGACAAAACGCAGACCTCAAGGCTACGGCCTTGCTGAAACTGGTTTACCTGGAAATGTTTGGACATGATATGTCATGGGCTTCCTTTCATGTTCTCGAAGTTATGTCCTCGCCAAAATACCTGCAGAAACGTGTCGGATATTTGGGCGCTGTGCAGAGTTTCCGACCGGATACTGAAGTTCTGATGTTGGCTACAAATCTCTTGAAGAAGGTACGATATTCAGAATGATTCTTAAGTATTGTACTTAGGCATATACAGGATTTGAGTTCCGCGACACCGACAACAATGTCTCTACCAATCATAACGTTACCGCATGTTATTACTCCTTCACTTGCACTATCGGTTCTTTCAGACTTGCTACCTCGAATGACACATTCTCATCCAACGATTCGCAAGAAAACTATTGTCACACTTTATAGGTTGGCTCTAGTCTATCCAGAAACATTACGTCCGGCATGGCCAAAAATCAAAGAGCGATTGATGGATGAAGGCGAAGATCCAAGTGTTACAGCGGCAATTGTCAATGTAGTTTGCGAATTGGGATGGCGGAGACCTCAAGACTTTTTACCACTCGCCCCGCGGTTATTCGAGCTCCTTGTTGATAGTGGAAATAATTGGATGGCCATTAAACTCATTAAATTGGTCAGTTTCAAATCTTGTACTAGAAACTATATTTTTAACACACATCTAGTTCGCTACCTTGACTCCGCTTGAGCCAAGATTGGTCAAGAAACTTTTGCCGCCACTTACATCTATCATTCGAACCACTCCAGCAATGTCACTGCTATATGAGTGTATAAATGGCATTATATTAGGCGGGATTCTAGGAAGCAGTGAGGAATCAGCAGGCGGGGAAGAGATAGCTACTCTTTGCGTGAGCAAGTTGCGGGGTATGATTATGGTCGAGGGAGATCCTAATCGTAAGTCTGAGTTCCTCAGCAAAAGAACGATGCTAAAGATTTACAGTAAAATATGTCGCTCTACTTGCTTTCAACAAGATTGTTGTTACTCACCCATTTCTTGTCGCTCAACAAGAAGATGTAATAATGGACTGTATTGATAGTCCTGATATTTCAATTCGTTTACGCGCATTAGACTTAGTTGTGGGTATGGTCAGCAGCGACAATCTGATGTCGATTGTTGGGAGATTGATGAGACAACTCCGAAGTTCCCCCTCAGTGCCTGCAAGTAGTTCAAATCCTCGACCCGCTGGTCACATTGAACCGGAAGCAGATTCAGACGATGAGGCGCCGGAAGTTGCCATAAGGTCTGACAGGGGGGCATCACAAGACATGTTATTGCCGGATGACTATAAGATGGATGTTATAACCAGAATACTCCAAATGTGCTCGATAAACAATTATGCTAATATCGTCGATTTTGACTGGTATATCGATATTCTAATTCAACTCGTCAGGAATGCTCCTATCACAAATGCGACCTCAAATCAAGAAATGGATGAATCCTCAGATGACGATATTTCTGAAAGAATTGGAGATGAATTGCGAAATGTTGCCGTCAAAGTGAAAGCAGTTCGATCTCAAGCGGCCAGGGCTGCTGATTCAATACTGATACTAGCTTTTAACGATACGTCGAGTCAAGTTAGCTCCGGAAACGGAGCACTTCGTCCGATATCATGGATGATTGGAGAGTACGCTTCTTATCTGGAGTCCCCAGAAAACACAATGGCAGCCTTACTGCATATTTCAAAAGTGTCAACGTCTGCTGAGAGTCTCATTGTGTACCTCCAAGCATTGCCAAAGGTTTTTGCGATCATAGCCGATGACGAGCATTCATTATGGACGGTTGAACGGAAGACAATGATGTCACTGTTAATGGCACGCATTATAAATGCCATTGAGCCCCTAGCAATGCACCCCGATTTAGAGGTCCAGGAGAGGGCTGTTGAATTTTCAGAGCTGTTGAAGTTGGCAGCGGAAGCGACAAATGGACAAGAGCCGTCCTCGGAATCGGTTCAACAAGATGCACCACTTTTACTTACACAAGCACTCCCTTCTCTATTCAGGGGGCAGGAATTAAACTCTGTTGCAGCCAGTGCGCAGAAGAATGTTCCGTTGCCATCTAATTTGGATCTTGATCAGCCAATCAATCCAAATTTGCACAACCTACTGCGCAATGTAGACATGATATCCTTCGATGAGCCCGAAAATGACGAATTCGAAGTCTATTATCATCAGAAACCAGTGTCCACTTCAATTTCATCGAATGAGCCTGCTATCAATCGTCTTGGCGGAAGTCCCGACCAACCTGCTCAGTCTTATCAACAAGGCAGCGAAGAGTCATACCTAGATCCAGATATCGTTGCGCGACGGAAAGCGGAAAGACTTGAAAGAAACAGAGATGATCCATTTTATATCGCACCGACTGATGGTAGTATCTCTGGCACTTCAACGCCACTTCATAAAATTATTCAAAACAACAATGGGCCAGATTTAGATATCGATGCCATACCAATCATGCAGCTAGACCTGGGCAAGACAAGCCTAACTACAACCAATACTAAAAAGCCCTCGAAAAAGCCTCGCCAACGAATACAAGTGGCTGCTGACGAAACTCTGAACCTGAGTGGAACTTCTACGCCTGCAAACGATTCCGAGAACAGTACTGATGGACCTCAAAAAGCGCGAATGACAAAAGGGAAACAATCCCTTTTACAAGTAGACTCGAGTCATATCGGTCAATTCTCCCTTGAAGGTGACAGTACTAGCGGAATTGACTTTGAGCGGCAGCAGAAAGAAGATGCCGAGATGGTAAAGGCTATGAAAGAGGTAGAAAGACTTCGATTGGAGATGCAGCGAGCGAATGAGAGAATCCACGCTGCACAAGATGTTCCACCAGAAGGAACGGTGGTGAAGAAGAAGACGAAGAAGAAGACTAAACCAGTGGAAGGCGAAGTAACGGCAGTTGTTAAGAAGAAGAAGAAGTCTAAGAAAACTGTAGTCGACGAAGGAGAAGGTGAAGGCGAAACTTCCATGGCTCCAAGGACTACAGATGTCGTAAAGCCAAAGAAGAAAAAGAAGAAGCCAAAGGTGGAAGAAGGAATCCTGGAACAGGCGTAATATGCATAGCGTTTAGGAAGCATTCAATGGCGTATGGAGCTTGCAACAGATACCATAAAGGTAGTCAAGGCCTAAAAACTTTTGAGTTTTGATCGCAACGTAATTCTGTAGGTTATCTGTGTGATTGCATTTGTACCAGGTATCCCATTGTTTCTCTCTCAGTTGACTTTGAAGTATGCAGAATTCCTTGCTTTGATTATAGTCTTGCTACTTGACATTCCTACATTGTTCCAGGTTCGCGCATCCATCCGGTAGGGAAGGGGGGCTAGTACACGTGACTACGATCCTTATCCTTATCGGAGCCTGGAGCTCGGACCAACATCGAGCAAAAAAAAAGATTCCCAATCCCAATCCAAAATTCAATCTTTCGGTCTGCCAGATTTTCTCCGAGTGTAATTCTCTTACACATAGACAATATGGCAACGTCAGCGAACTTTATTCCTCTCGGGGGAGTGGATAAGACTCATGAGTTCGATCAGCCTATGAAAAAGCGAGATGCGGGTTATAGAGCTAAGTCTCTTTCCGCTGGAAAGCCGAAGGTTATTGGAGCCACTAAAGGTAGGTTTATTTGTTCTTTACATATCCATTGGGATTTGTCCCGGTCATAAAATTAAGAAGCTTTTGCCTCGTCTGAAGTGGGTTAAGGAACTCTAATGAACTGGGAATATAGAGGAGCGATCGCGAATTGCGCGCGAAGTACGAAATGCAGCGAAGAAAGAGAAGAAGAAGGCCAAGTCCGATGCAAAGAAGGCTAGGAAATTGAATGGTATCATGACTAGACGAGCTGTAAGTCGAAGACTTTTTAATGTTGGCTGGTAGAATGGAAGAAACTAATTCAATTTGGGTTTCTAGACTCGGAATCCAGAAAAATACAACAAGAACAAGGAGAGAAATCGTCTTCACGCAATCGATGTCGAACGTTACAAGATTCGCCTGAACGCTGTCAACCAAGCCCAGAAGTTGGCCGCGGTCCATGATCCTAGTGGAGTTTCCTTTAATGTGGGAGAGGTAGTTACATTGGAAGATGGAACCGTGAAGAGTAAGAAGAGCTTGGAGAGGAAACAAGAACTTGCAGAAGGGAAGCAGTCGGTCCAACATGAAGATACTGCTGTGCCAGAAGGTATCAATCCGGAACGAGTTCATCTTCTTGACGGGGAGAAGAAATCACATATTTCGAAGACGGCACTCAAGAAGAAGAAAATGTACGAACCAAAACCTGTTCCACCTAAACCGATTATTCCCGAGGGAGTCGCTCTACCAGAAGGAGAGGAGAATTGGTTAGCATTATGGGATATTTCGGATGGGCAAATTGAGCAGAGGATCGCGATGGCTAAGAGAGAAGCTGGAAATGCAAAGAGGGATCTTA